GCCCGAGCGCTGGATGGCCACGCATGCGAGGCTGCGCAGCACAGCGTACGGCACAAGACAGAGTGCGAGAAGGACGACGGGGACGACGGCGAGATACGCGATGAGCGTCAAGAGAACGTGGGCGGAAGCGTAGAGAAGCGTGGCGTAGGTGAGCCATTGGAAGGGCCAGCAGAAAAGGTCTCGAAGCAGCAAGAGGCCGGTGCTGGTGTCGATGGTCTTGGTTTGCGGGTCGATCGCGAGGAGAGGCTGACTTGGCCGCATGGGCACTGTGACGCAGTTTGTGAAATGCGATGGGCAGCTGATTGGGTACGGCTCGGCCAATCAGATGGCGGAGTGGATTGGCGCGTCGTTATGGGTCGCTACAGGGACCAGGGCGAAGCGACGTCGGAGGGTGAGTTGGCGGGAAAAGATTTAGTCTGTCCCTAAATTTTAGCGCGAGAATGAAGGGACCGCTGTGCCGATGCGATGACGCGTCGGTTGCGGTGGAATTTATAAGGTCAGCGGGTCGGCGACCAACTTTGAACTTGATATTTGTATCGATCCCCAGGCGCCTGTCTCAAAGACATCAAGAAGCCTCGCGTTTGATTGGCTAAAATGCGTCAGTGAATTTACCAAACAGATACCGGCAATCCACCGGTACGCAAGCTTGGGACTCGGCATGCCATGAGAATGCTGAAAGTTAGCCAAATATGCAGAAGTCCTGCAAGCATATATCGTCAATCTACTGCCGGAGCCCGTCGTTCAGCAAGGCGCAGCGAAAGAAGCACCCCACGCGCCCCCACTGTAGTCAGAGTCGCTAGCGACATACTCAAAGCCAATGCAATCCTAAGCAAGGACAATGCAGAGTCCATGGGTCGCAGGCTCGTCGTCGAGCGCGATATCGTAGTTGGTACTAAGACCGTCGGCTCGAAGGATGGGGTTGAAGGCAGATCCTAGCCGCGCGATCCTCCGGATAATCGCCGCCGCCACAGAAATTGGCGGGAGCTCGTATCCGGCGGCTTTGGGAGTTCCACAAACGGCAAAAACATGGCCAACACGCCCCCGGACACGCCGCCGTCGAGCCCCGTGGCTGCGCCTGCCGCCTACGACGGAGTCGCGACGCCGCCGTCGAGCCCCGTGGCCGCGCAACGACCTCCCATGGGCGCGACCCCGCCGTCAAGCCCGGTGGCGAGACCCACGCGGAGCGTCGTCGACACGCCGCCATCGAGCCCTGTGGCCGCGCAACGACCTGCCATAGGCGCGGTGGATACGCCGCCGTCGAGTCCCGTGCGCCCGCACGTCCGGGTGGTGGATACACCGCCCTCGAGCCCCATGTCGCCGCTCGTCGACTCGCAGCAAGACGACATCGGGCGCTATCCGCCGGCGCGGCAACCGCCGATGACTCCGCCGTCGCCGTCGTCGTTCTCGCAGCCGTCGGTCTCGGTTTCGGCGACCGCCGAGTTCCGCCACCAGTACCACTCTGGCGACTTTAGTGCGTCCGTCGATGCGACGCCGATGCCACGATACCTCGGGCGGTACGCCGACGGCGACATTAGCACGAGCCTCTCGGCGCGTCACTTGCCACGCGGCGACCTTGGACGGTCGGAATTTCGCATTCAGGAGTTGCCGGGATCGGTGCGTGCCGCCGGCGCACCATCGTCGCCCGGCGGTCCAGGCGACAGCCCGCCCTCGTCGCCCATCTCGGTTGACCCGTCCAACCGGCATGGGCTGCCCCAGGCGCCGTTGTCGCCGAGCTCGGCCAGCGCCAGCGTCCAGCACGCCGGTCCTGCGGCCGCGGTGCCGCTCGCCGAGCAGTCGTACTCGAACGCCGTCGTGTGGGGTACGAACGTCAGCGTGGCCGAGTCCATGGGCGTCTTCCGGGCGTTCTTGCACGAGTTCAACCCGCCTGGGCACGCCGACCTCGGCGGCGAGAGCTACTACATGAAGGTCCTCCACCAGATCCAGCTCACGCAGCAAGGGGTCTTCAACCTCGACGGCAACCACCTCCTCGAGTGCAGCGCTGCGACGCGCAAGCTGTACATGCAGCTCGTGCATTTCCCGCAAGTGCTGATCCGCATTTTGGACATGGTCATTGTCGACGAGTTCAAGATCCTCTTCCCCGACGACGTCGACCTCGTACGTGCCCTTTTGAAGACTTTTTTGAGATTTAGATTTAGATTCGCATTCAAGTACGGCCGTTTAACCTCAAAGACAAGCAAGCGATGCGGAATCTCAATCCAGCTGACATTGACCAGCTCGTGAGCCTCAAGGGCATGGTCACGCGCTGCTCGTCGGTGATTCCGGACCTCAAAATGGCCTTCTTCCGCTGCACCATGTGCCACTCGACCGTCGAAGTCGAGCTCGACCGCGGTCGCATCGACGAGCCGACGGTACGCCGCCTTTAACTCGGCACCATGGTCAATGTATTGTCATGCGTAGATGTGCGACCACTGCCATACGCGCGGGTCCATGGAGATCATGCACAACCGGTGCGCGTTCACCGACAAGCAGCTGGTACATTTTCCATCGTCCACTAAAGACAATAGGTTCCATCCTGCTCCGTAGGTGAAAATGCAAGAGACCCCCGATGCAATCCCCGAAGGCGAGACCCCGTACACGGTAGTACAATACATCGCAGGCCTGCGCGTCTGAAACGCGGATGCGTTCGTAGGTGATGTTGTTTGCCTTCGACGACCTGGTCGACGACGTCCGACCTGGTGACAAGATTGAAGTCACTGGTATCTACCGCGCGGTGCCGATGCGCGCGACCATCAAGCAGCGCGTCGTCAAGTCGGTCTTCAAGACGTACATTGACGTGGTCCATTTCCGCCGGACGGACGAGCTCATGGGCGCGTTGGGCGGCCTCGACGATGGCAACGCGGTCGACGCTGTCCAGCAAGCCAAGATTGACGAGTACCACCGGATCGCGTCCGACCCGCTCGTCTACGAGAATCTCGCGCACTCGCTCGCGCCGTCAATCTGGGAGCTGGACGACGTCAAGAAGGGCGTGCTCTGCCAGCTCTTCGGTGGGACGCGCAAGGCTGCCGCGGTGATTGGCAAGAAGCACACGCGGTCGGACCTCAACGTGCTCCTCTGCGGTGACCCAGGCACGTCCAAGTCCCAGCTATTGTCGTATGTGCACAAGCTCGCGCCCCGGGGCATCTACACGAGCGGCAAAGGCAGCTCGGCCGTGGGTTTGACCGCGTCGGTGATTCGAGACATGGAGACCGGGGATCTGGTACGCGGATCGAAGCCGGCGCGGACGTCTGATTTTGAAGTAGGTGCTCGAGTCCGGTGCGCTCGTCTTGTCGGACGAAGGGATTTGCTGCATTGACGAGTTTGACAAGATGTCGGACAACGCGCGCAGCGTCCTGCACGAGGTCATGGAGCAGCAGACGGTCTCGATCGCCAAGGCTGGCATCATTTGCTCGCTGAACGCGCGGTCGTCGATCTTGGCGTCGGCCAATCCGATCGAGTCGCGCTACAACCCCAACAAGAGCGTGATTGAAAACATCAACATTCTCCCGACCTTGCTCTCTCGGTATCCCTTGGCTCTGGATGATACAGACAGTATTTCTGATACTCTGTGTGGCTAGATTCGACTTGATTTATTTGATTCTGGATCGGCCGAATGCCGAGGCCGACCGGCAGCTCGCACGCCACATCGTGTCGCTCTACTACGACTCGTACTCGATCCACAATGCGCGCGGCCACATGAAGGCGTCCGAGGTCATTTCCATGTCGGTCCTCTCCGACTACATTGCGTACGCCAAGGACCATGTCCAGCCGCAGCTGAGCGAAGCCGCGGCCAAAGACCTCGTCGCGGCCTACCTCGAGCTCCGGCGCATGGGCAGCAACCGCAAGAACATTACGGCGACGCCGCGCCAGCTCGAATCGCTCATCCGCATTGCGGAAGCGCTGGCCAAGATGCGGCTCGCGGATACCGTCACGTCGCGGGACGTGACCGAAGCGCTGCGCCTCATGAACGTCGCGACGCAAAAGGCCGCGATGGACCCGCGCACGGGCACGATCGACATGGACATGATCACGACGGGGTACGCGACCGTAGATCGCGAGGCGCTGAGCGCGCTCGTCGACGATGTGAAGCGACTTTTGACCGAGCATGGCGGCGGCTCGATGAACACGGGCGAGCTCAAGAAGCAGCTCGACAGCCTGCGCGGGTCCGAGACCAAGCACACGGAGTTCCAGACCGCGCTGCGAACGCTCGAGGAAGAAAACCTCGTCCAAGTGTCCCATGGCTCGGTGCGGTACTTTAGCTCGCGCGATTAACATCCCCGGAATACGCTCGCCGGAATATATCTATATCGATACGTATGTATATTGTGTCGACGTCGACAAGAAAAGCAACATAGTCATCGTTGTCGCGGTTAGGGCAAGGATCCGTTGGGCTTGATACGTTGGATGCGTGTCGTCGGTTGTCGTTTACGCTCACGCGCAGAGGGTCGTGACGACCGCATCGTCACCAAAGCCCCATACGTCCAGCACCACGAGCATCTACTCGCGTAGTATTGAGTCTACAGAAGGATGTGCGATCGAAACACCTTGTCGAGTGCCGACGGGTACAATGCGTCGAGCTCGGGTCGGGACAAGAGCTCGATTCCGAGCGTGAGTGTGAGCTCGAGGAAGCCTTCAAAACCGAGCCCCTGGTCCACCTACATAACATTGAAGGGTTGGGCTGTTAAGAAGTTCCTTGCCGGCGATCGGTCGCGCTGAATCGCCTCGCGCAGCGCGAGCAAGGACGACGCCGAGAGAAACGCCGGCACAAGGTGCATGGCTTCCATAAGTCCCACGAGCTAAACAACGACGAGTCACTCGTCCATTCGAATGCAACCTGCGGAGCTACCTTGGTGTTGTCCAGACGGCGAGGTGCCGCGTCGCTGCCTGTATCAATGTATCAAATGGTCAAGTCCGATGCTTTATAACATGTACAAAACGCGTGAAAGAGCTTGCGCAGCACAGGTGCGCGGCTGCAGAGCAGCGCATTGAACGCAGGATCTACGTCACATCCGATGAGTCCTTAGCGTCCATCATGTGATGCCGCGACCGCTGTCAAAGGCCGTCGAAATCTCGTCCGGCAACGACTTTGGCGCCTTGCGGCGCTGCATCTGCTGCACGGCCAGCAGTACAACGACGGCCGTGTACAAGGTGAAGCGCGGACGAGTCGCTTGGACGATGCGCGCCGAGTGCTTGAGCACACCGATTGCAGCCCTCTCCAGTTGCTGGTGGTCGTGACCTACGCCTCAGTGTGTAAAAGCGCAGAGTTATGCTTCGCGGGGGTTGTACCTGTGACGGCGACGGTATGTTTGAGCTCGTAAAAGATAGCATGGGCCATCGCGGCGCTCAGGAGGTCGATGGATGCTCCGTCCCCTTGGGCCTACCGCTCCTTAGCCGAGGTTGAGGATATTAGCAAAGTACCTGCGTAAAGGCGAGAAGGAGGAGGCGGACAATATGGCGGGGACTGCTCGGGAGGCCACGCAGCGCAGCGATAAAGGCCGTGACGGCGCGCTCGTCATCCTCGTCGCCGTCCTTGTTGGTGGCCGTCTCGTCCTTGGCACGTAGCTGGAACGCCTCCAATGGCACGAGTGCCTCGAGCGGTTGGACAACCTACGGCGACTTAAATTGTCGCGGGCTCTGTGGGGGAGGCAGGCATCGCACGTGCTTGACGGCGGCGGCAACTTCGTGCGGCGCGTACATGGCATACCGTGCCACTTCAGTCTCGGACAAGAGCGACGCGGTGCGTGCTCCGTCCGAGAGGCTGAGGAAGAGGTCGCGCTTCGAGTCAGGCGCATGCACAATGTGCGACAGCAGTTGCGACACGTGACGAAGTGAGAGGGGCGACCACGCAAGCCGGCCCGAGCTCGACCGTCGGCGGAAGGAGCTCATCGTGGCACTCGGTCGAGGCGCGATAGCAATCGTCTCGTCGGGTGTCATCAATCCTTGCTACATAATCAAAATGAAACCGTCACTTGTCGTCCTGTGGTCGCGCCACGTCATCGCACCGCGGCACGCGGAAACGACAGCGTTTTGTAGTACGCGAGGAGCTTCCTCGCCATGAGCTTGCGGTCTTCAACGGACGCTGCGCGTGAGTGAGTGACGCGCCGTCGTCGTCATAAAGCGACAACGTACGGCTCAAGTCGCTTGGATTTTCGCTCGGACGCGCCAGGTGCACGCCAAGGTGCGTGAGCAGAGGCTCTTCGGCCAAGAGAAGCTGCGTGGACACCTACCTCGGTGCTATCGCATCTCTCGATAGACGGAGCGATGAAAGGTCACCTTGTGCAAGAGATCGAGGAGGGCCTGGAGGACCTGCGTGTGCTCCAACGGCATGCGATCGAGCTCGGCTTGCACGCTTTTCAAGAACGTGGCGTTGGAGGTCGAGGCGTCAGGCACAAACAGCGCTCGAACCATCGAGGGGTACGCCTCGTACGGCAAGAGCGGTGCGTGCTCCATCTCGAGTTTCTACACGACTGCACCTCACGCCGACTGATGGAGATGGTCTCCAACCTGGCGCACGATGCACGAGATGGACCTCGACGAGAGCTTCTTGAGCAGTTTGTTGGAGGGTGCCAGCTGGTCTTCGAACGCGCGAAGCAGCAACTTGCGCTCCGAGGCCTTGCCTTCGTGCGCAAACAGTTTTTCTTTATGTGCCTTGAAGAGCGTCAAGTGCTCGATGAGCGCCAGTAGAACGCGGCAGTCGGCGGCCGCAGCGACGGCAGTGGACCACTCGACGACGCTATGCATCTGTTAGTTAGTCGATGTTGCATCGAAAAAGTACGCGCAGCGACGGCCTTGGCAAGGGTTTGCGCCGTGGCGCGGTTTTGCGCTTGAACATGTTTTGAAATTTGAAACGGGCGCCATCGAAACCGCGGGTGTCGACTAAACGCCTCGACATCGACTAACGACCCATCGATCGACTAATCGATTCGAGAACGACTGAACGACTAAACAACTAAACAACTAAACAACTAACACAACGACAAGCTTGAGATCAGCTTTCGGATGCACGGCTTACGCGAACGAGAGGCGGACTCGACGCTGCTGTAGGCATGCGTAATGCCTACGGTACATGGCCGCAAAACTGAGCCGCGCGTTAGTTAGTCGATTTTTATGGCGGCCGTAATTTCAGGCAAAGACTGGCGTTATGATACGTTTCAGTCCAGCAGCGGAAGGAGAGCATCCGCTTCTTCGTCATCAGAGCCAATATGACCAGCGCCTTCGACGACGTCCTCTTGCTCGAGCGCCACGACGACGGCCCGCGGGTCGTGTGGCGCTACCTCACGGACCCGGCGTGCGGTAGCGGCAACAACAACTTTAGCTTACCGTATGGCCTCCCGCCCATCTGCGTGCCCGGCGCGACCAAGGGCCAGCGGCGGTGCGTCCCGCCGCCGTCTTGAACGCTGACAACGACGAGATCTGTAGCGGCGCCGAGTTTACCTTTACGATCTCGGATGGCCGGTCGCGCCAGCTCTACGGCCTCGTCAAGCAAGTCGCGCTCAAGCCCGAGACGCCGGCGCTCGTCGCATGTATCCTCGCCCCCAAGTACGTACTCGCTCGTCGCCATACGATCGCAACCTCGCCGTCGTACCGTGCGTCAGGCCGCTCTATGTATGGCTCGCGTGGATCTTACGGCTCGTGCACGCGCGGCTCCTCCACGACCCGACCAAGCGCTCGACCATGACGCTCCTCAACGCCATACGCGGCGCACACCACGACGGGCCGCTCGTCTTCGCCGACAGCTTTGTCGGCGATCTCAAGACGTATACGTTTCCGCTGCACCCGCCCGGCGCCTTTGGCGCCCGCGCGCTCGAGCCGCATATCGTACGTTCTTCGTCATGCGTGGACGCGACGTGCTAAGGCGGTGCGTAGCTCAACTACCGATCGTTCACGACCAAGCTGCAGACGCCGAGCGCGCTGCTCGTGCTGCTGAGCGCCCTTCTTCTCGAACAGCGCGTGGTGGTCGTCCACGACGAGCACGACCTCCTCACGGGTCTCTGCCAGCTCCTGCTTCGCCTCCTCTCACCGCTCGTCTGGAAGGTACTTCGGGATGCTCGAGGATCGCATCGAAAGGAACCAACTGTAAAATCGTGTAGCACATGCTGATTCCTGTCTTGCCGATGGCATTGCTGCATTATGCAAGCGCACCGATCCCGTACTTGCTGGGTATGACGACGTCCGTGTACAAAGCTACGAAGCTCTCGAACGTTGTCATCTTTCATTTGGACGCGGGCAACGTCGAATTTCGCGACCTTCTCGGCGCCTTCCCGACACTCTGCGATGAATTCCCCATCTCACCGACGGTCGGCGCCGTGCCCTTCGCACGCCTCGGCACGCCCATCTATCGTGCGTTTCGGGTTCCGATTGATACATTGATACAAAATGGTGTGTGTTTGTAGGTGACTCGACGAGCGCGCTCGCGGCCTTTCGCCGGGACCTTCTCCACGCCTTTGAAGCCGAGCCAGGTAGGTCGCCACTTTACACCCACAGGATATACCGTATTCTCGTTAGAGACGCTCGAGACGTGTGTGAACGCCCTCTTGTACCACCTCTTTGCCGACGCGTCGTCGTTTCTTCGGTCGTCGGCCAAGCAAGGCGGCGCCTACGTCGACCTGCCGGCGTACCTCGCGGCGCGGCGCGGCGTCGACCCGCCGCTTCTCGTACGCCCTCTCTCACTATATGCACCGTCAACGACTTGGCCTAGCACCGCTTTGTGACGGCGATTGCGGCAACGCCGATGCTGCAAACCTACTGCAACGACCGCCTCGCCCGTCTCCATGCGCGGGATATCTACCACGGCCCGTTGTACGTCTGCATTCAGGCCAAAGACTTTCACTACGCCCAGCTTCGCCGCAACCTCCAGCGCCGGTAGGCTTTCGTATGGTTGATCGTCGGCGGAGAAGTGATTCTTCATGTGTAGAAGCACGCAGTCGCAAGAGTACCCGCAAGTGACGCAGCTCGTCGCGGGGATGTGGACACAGTCGGACCGCTTTCACGTGTCGCTTGCGGACGTCCGACCGCTTCTGGACGCGACGTACCACATGTAGATATATCCTCCACCAACTCGACTCGTTGGGGTAGCATATTTCTTCGTCTAGGGACCACTGCGGCATCGTCATCGACATGCTGTGGGAGCGGCTTGGCGACGGCAACGACAGCACGGTCGCGACGGTAGGGATGGCACATCAATCATGTCTCCACCTTCCATTTCGTAGGCGCTGCAAATCCTCGTGTACCTCATGCTGGATGGCTGCGAGATTGTGACCGAGTACCTTCGCTTCAAAGAGTGCCAGCGCAACCACTGCCGCATTCTCAAGCGCCATAGCTTTCGCGGTATGTGCAACCCTAGCCCTCGAATTGTGCCGAGCGAGCGGAACTAGGCATTGTGCACGGCGCCACGCAGCTCTTGGACTTTATGAGCGGCCCGGAACGACTCTACACAATCCGCACGAGCAACTCGACGCAGCAGTGGCTCTCTAAAGTGACGTTTCCGCGCCTCGAACTCAAGCAGCGGTATGCGCTGCCGGCGTTTGGTGATCTCCACCATAATGTCGGTCGTTTTTACCAGCCAGTGCACTCGGTGGACCTCCTCAATCTCCACGTGGACGACAAGAAGCAAGACGTGGTCCACGACCCGTTTGATACGAACGCAACGTTTCCCGAGCACTGGCGCTAACAACCTCAGTGTCACTCTTTGTTGGATGCGATGTGCTGTGTCTACATCCACGCCATTTTACACATATCACCAAGCTAGGGCATGCAGCATGGCGGTGGAACAGCTGCGTTATGGTGTATATGCCGGTGGACGTGCAACGAGATGGCGTGTGCCCTGCGTGCGGACGTCGCAACGAGCGCAAACCAGCGTCGCTCCAACCGGAGAGCCTTTTGTGTTGGGTGCGATTAGCCGTCCGATATCATCCGGATACGCGGCAACCTTGGGACAAATCCACAATCCGAACACAAGGGCAAGCGAGGATGGAGCAGGACTTGGCATGCGCCAGGACGCCCGAGGACGTGCTCGAAGCACTTTGCGCCATGGACGTCGCGTCGCTGACGCATGAAGAGCTGCCGGTGGCGCTCGCGACGGTCGAGGCCCATGCGGCGCGGTACCCGTACTTGTATGCGACGGCGGCGCACCAGGATATCTTGGCACAGCTTCGGTCGATGGCGGCCGCGCAGGATCGCCATGCGCGCTCGAGCCGCACACGCGAGAGCGAGGCGGCTACAAGCGCCTTTGTCCGGCTGTCGTCGCTGCCCGGGCGGTCGGCGTCGGCAGCGGTCGTCGTCGCGCCTACTGCAGCGCGTGTCGTCGTCCATGTCGGCGTCGAGCTCGCTCATCCTCGGCAACAACGCCAACAACAACTCGATCAACATGAGTATGAGCGGTCGCGCTCTAGGCGACGAGCGCAACTCGCTGAGTTTTCTGCGGTCGATGAGCACGATGCTCGGGCTCGGAATGGCAGAGACGAGCTACTGCCAGATCTGCCTCGAGTACGTCGACGTGGCCTCGACGGTCGCGCTCTCGGTGTGCGGGCATCGCTTCTGCGCCGACTGCATCCATGGGTACCTCGCCAGCAAGATCTCGGACGGGCTTGTCGCGCCCAAGTGCTTCTTCGCCGACGGCGACGGCCGGCCGTGCGAGGCGCTCATTCCGCCGAGCGACATCCAGGCGCTCGTGTCCACCGACGTGTTTGAGAAATACGAGAAATTCAACTTCATCAAGGCCCACGCGGGTGCGCGTGAGTGCCCGCACTGCCATGTGCTGCAGGTCGGCAACGGACCGGACGACCCGCACATGGACTGCACGCAGTGTGGCGAGGCGTTTTGCTATACGCACTCGAACGCGCACCCGCACTCGACGTGCCTCGAGTACGAGGCCAAGATGCGCGCCGAAGACAAGGTGAACCAAGCCAAGATCAGCCAGATCTCTAAGCCGTGCCCGGGCTGCAAGAGCCCCGTCGAAAAAAACGGTATATTGGTCGCATTTCCATGGTTTTTCAGAAAGAGGATGATAATTCTCGGGTAGGCGGCTGCAACCAGATGAAGTGCGTCACATGCGGCGTTCACTTTTGCTGGCTTTGCGGCGAAAAGGTCGACGACGGCGTCTTCCCCGAGCACTTTCAGGTACTCATGCTTCCATTGTCTGGTTCCGGCCAGTTGATACTTGATACATTGATATTCATGCGACGCGTAGTGGTGGAATTTACGTGGCTGCGCCGGCGCCCAAATGTCCGAGACCGCGGTCGAAGGCCCGAGCACGCTCTCCAAAATGGTCGCATTCTCGTGGCGCATCCTTCTCTGCCTCGTCTTTGGTCCACCAGCGCTCGCGCTCACGCTGGCCTTTAGCATTCTCGGCTGCTGCTGCATTCCGTGCTGTCTCCGCGGCCAGGCGTTTGCGCGGTCGGCGTTCGCGAGCTGCTTCTGCGTCTCGGGGTATGCGCTCATGTCACCCTTCGTTCTCGCCGCGTGTTTACCGCTCCTCCCCGTCGGGCTCTGTATCTGGTGCTTTTGCCCGTCCGCGTGTCATGACAATAATGACAGTGCGACGGCGGGACATGCGATCTCGTCCGGCGAAGACCAGACGCTCGTGGCCATGCCGGACGAAGACAGCATCGAGTCGGACGGCGTCGCGCGGTACGGGTCCCATGGCTCCCCCGACGAGCAGCCACGGGCCATCTTGCATGGCCCCGCCGCAGCGGTTTAGGAACCAACCTGTATTAATCTTTTGTGGAGTACTTGTCACGGGAGCTGAAGGATACGTGTTTGCCAATTCACTCTTACAAATAGTGGGTCGAGGAAGCTCGTCGGTTGTAGTTATGACAACCTGTGCATCAAGAATGAGGTGCGGCTGAAGGCAGACGGGGTCGAAGATGTCATTAAGGATGCTACGATCCTATATAGGCATATCTCGACTTGTTTCAGGATTTCAGGACTTTCGGGCGGTGTCAATTAGGCCACATTGACGTTTGAGCTCAAAAGCCGTGGCGTTGAGAGTCAAGGAGCCAATCCGAATTGACGGGCGATGACCGACTACGTGGTCGTGACCATGGCGCCGCTGAGCGCCGACGACGCTGTCCGGCGCGTCGAGCACGCGAGCGCAGGCGCGATCTCGACCTTCATTGGCACGACCCGCGACTCGTTCAACGGTATATTGTCGTCGTCGGACTATGGTCGATGATGCTTTAGGCAAGGTCGTCGAGTACCTCGAGTACGAAGGGTATGTGCCGATGGCCGAGAAGGAGCTCTTGGCGATTTGCGCGTCGATCCGGCGGCAGTGGCCTGGCGTCGTGGGCGTCGCGATGGCGCACCGCTTGGGCGTCGTGGCGGTAGGCGAGGCGAGCGTGATCATCGCCGTGTCGTCGCCGCACCGCCGGGAGGCGCTCGAAGCCGTCGCGTACGCGATCGACACGCTCAAGGCCCGCGTGCCGATCTGGAAGCTGGAAAAGTACGCTGGCGACGCGCGCATGTGGAAGGAAAACCCCGAGTGGCGGACCATGACGCCCATCGAGTAGGATCGCTTGGTAAGAGGAGCGCTGGTCGTACTAGTCGCGTACTCCTTCGTAGGTCGTATGCGAGAAGACCTAGTATATCTCTTCTCATGTCTATCAATGTGTGACGAGAGACTGTATGCGCTATGGTCTTGGCGTGATGGAGGCCATCGTGCGTGGCCAACGACTCGACGTCCTATTGAAGTCTAGTCGTCGAAAGTTGTAGTCGACTATCCACTTGACCGCCAGTACATTACGTGGCCCGTCAACCCAGGATCGAACCCACGGCCATACTACGTACCACTAGGTAGGACGCTGCTAGGGGGATGTTCGGAGCTCGTGACGGCACGGCACCCTGGCACCTTGGTTGTAGCTGCAGCTGCCTTGGTTCTTTCTGCAAAGGCACAGTGTTCTCATGTAAAGAAGCAGCTTCGATCCGTCGATGCGTTCGCGACATCATTAAACACCACGCTTCGGTTGCTGGCGACCGTGACGCTTGTACAAGCGTGTTCAAGCTTTTGCTTGGAGCGCTGCTTCGTCGGTCGCCACTTCTGATGCAGATCGGCCATGTCTGGTCGACGCTGCGACGATCCCAGCTGCTGGATTCGTCAAATGGACTAGCGCACGTTGATAGGACGTTATAAAGGGCATGTGAGCGTATCCAGCTACTCCAGTATCCGACAGCCGGTTCGTCGCATTTCGTTGCGCCACGTCATCACTCCGATGGCCGCATTTGCAACCCTGCTGGGGCGTAACTGTATTACTACTGATTTCCTTTGCTGTCTCGTGTCGCGAGATACTAAGTACTACATACATGTACTACGAGTGCTTATGCTGAGAAGACACTCTAGTGTCACAAAAGCACGTCAACCTCGTCGGCGTCAACCTCGTCGGTGTCATGTTGTCTCCACACTATTCTACTGATTCGGGCGCTTCCTGGGTAGGCCTCGCGGCTTCGGTGGCTTCGGCGGCCGTGTACGTGGCGTGCATCAAGCAAATGACTTTGTCACTCACGCTTTTGAGCACATCAAGCGACAGCGTTGGGCCGTGCGCCGCCACAAGCGCATCGACAAGGGCCTCCTCGTTGGGAAAGATGCGGCGCTCGTTGTTGTGCTGGGTCGGCGGCTTGGACGCAGCAAGCAGGCGAGCCCGATTTACCTTGCGGTACGCATGCCATGCGTACTGTACGTGTTCGTGGACGAGACGGCCAGCGTCAAGGTGGCGCGCGCTGCGAAAGCGGTAGGCACACGTGCCGTGCATGCGCCGGGCGAGTGGGCACTTCTCTTCCTCGCGTCCGCACTCGGCGGCGCAGTTGTTGCGAGGCTCGACGCAAAGAAACCACTTGAGCGCGCTGTTCTGGTGCGGGAAGTCGGCGACGAACGTCGCGCGCTTCTGCGTTGCCGTTGCCGCTTGTACCATCTCACGTGCATGGGCCTCGTCGAGCGGGTACACTTGAAACACCGCCGTACCATGCGGCTGGAGAACGCGGGAAAGCTCGCGGAAGAAGCGCCGCAGTTGCTCGTCCGAGAGCCACTGCAGCATCGAGATGCTAATCGCGTGGTCGAACATACCGTCTCGAAACGGCAGGTCCATGGCAGCGCCGCAGACAAAGGACGACGCCGCGCCGCGCGTCGCGATCTGCAGCATCGAGAGACTCATGTCAATGCCGACGGCGTGCGGCGGCAAGTGTGCCGTTGAGAGCCCCGACCCGCAGCCAATGTCTAAAAGGCAGGCCGTGGCCGCGTCGCGCGGCAGTAAAGACAGCGCAAGGCTCGTCAGATCCCGCTGGATGGAAGCATTCGCTGCCGAGTGATACGTTGTCGCTTGCGTGGGCGAGTAGAACCGGTCGGGCTGGCGCGACCGCTGCTCGGGCGGCGGGCGGTTGTACGGCATCACAAACGGCAAAGTCGTGGCACGCCAATGATTGGCTGACAGGACAGCATACAAATATCAACATGTGGGTATCTTGTGCTGGCAGTCAGTTTTTGGGCAAATCCACGACGTTGGAGCAGTGTGGGCAGGCTCGAGATCAGCCGCGCGACGTGCATAGAGCGTCCTGTCGTCGGACGACAGAAGGAAAATATCGTCGTCTCTCGTGCAGCCATTCTCTTCTCTTTCAAGGGGGCTCGGTTGATGGCGACTTGCACCCGTGCTAATAAGAGGGGAGCTTCTCGGTATTACCATGGGTTTGCGCGACTGGATTTTACAAATCAAACTGGACTGACTGACTGCTTTTTCTCCAGAGCTACGGTACTGGGGTGGTGTTCGTTCTTCTCTCTTTCGCGCGTCTGAATAAGATGGCCAGACGATTTGATTGCAACCAAAGAACTGCGTTCGATGCTGATCTTTGTGTCCAAAGCGGCTGGCGATGCTTCTACGGGCCATTGAAAACGTCCTTGTGGGTCCGGCTGTCCCATGCTACTCGAGAGAGGCACTGAGAGGACTTGAAGAGAAAGCACATCCTATGGGCAAGGACCACACTGCACTGTATTCTTAGTTGGGTAAACGCGTTGTTGTCGTCGTCGTGGGCGTGGGCAGTTGCCCTCAAAAGCTACTCTTTTAGTAGCCACCGCACGTGTTGCTTGAAGCCACGTCAAAACTCGCCGCTCGAGACCGTCCTATATAGCACGTTGGCGACGTAGTAGACAGAACACCATGGTCCATTCTACAAGCAATCACATCCAAGGCGACCGGGTTACCAAGGTCGGTCTCACGGCGGGCGCGTGGGATCGCTGTCGAAGGAAACGCAAGCGTGAAAACATACGGTAGCACGCGACGCCCAGCTGCTACTCTCGTGGCGTCGATATCAGAATAAACACGCACATAGAGCTGCACCGAGAGGTGGAAGCCACATCGATCGCGCCTACTCTTCATGCTGCCATCCACCTGCGCCGTGTCCACAGCGATGACAAGGAGACTGGACGCGATTGAAGCCAGACGACAAATGTCGAGCTATACATGAACTCATAGGTGGTGGTGACGTAACAGCCCATCTACGACCACGTGCGTTGTGCGGAATGGGATTGGAGGCTGCATTCTGGCGTCTGCCGTAGACGCGTGCCACGTGGTGGAGTGCGGACGATCGGAGGTGTCGAGTTACTCGCTCGCTTGGTCAATAAACAAATGGGATGATGGCGTGTGGATGGGGTCGCACCGTTCGAGCCGCTAGGATTCGATCCTCGCCAGCGATAAAAAGTGTACCCAAGGCTCTCGTCTCCACTGGCGACGAGACCATACTAGTGACGTGGGACGTAGTACGCGTGGTGTTGACAGGCGGTCTCGGCGCCCGATCAGCTTTTGGCGTGCAGCCGCTTCAACGACGCTGGTGTGTGCAACCGAAGTTTTCTCGACGCAACATCCCACGGCTTGCGGCTTCAACGGCAAACTCAAGACTGGCAACTTTCCCTTCGAACTTCGATTTGGGCCCTGTCAACTTCTTTAGCATCATTTGTGCATTCGGCTGCCCGAGTCAACGACGACGACGACGATGGCGATGGCAATGAGCAGCTACAACCACATCTTTGTCGAGAATATGGTCGACGGCGAAGGCGACAAGCCATCGCGCATCCTGCGGCAAGACCAGCTCCTCATGCCGCATCTGTACCAGCCGACGAAAGGCTGCCACGCGTGCCACGAGTGCACCAAGGCGTTTACGACCTTTCGCCGCAAGCACAACTGCCAAATGGTATTACGACACCTGCACCATCGGTCCTGCATCTCACAATCGCATCTAGTGCGGCTATGTCGTCTGCAAGAACTGCACGCTCGCGCACGTCGCCGAGGTCTCAAAGGATGTCTTGGACGTCAAGGTCTGCCTCTCGTGCGTCGCCCACCTGGAAGCCGAGCACCGGCTTCGCCGCACCGGCACGTCGTCGTCGCTGCGGTCGTCGACCGAGCTCCACCGGCGGCACTCGTCGCGTTCCAACATGTCTGTATACTCGGAAGACGACGTCGGCGAGGCCAACCTCTTTCAGCTCTCGCTGCGCGGGAAGGACGCCATGCTTCGCCGCCCGTCGAGCTCGATGGAGTATGCGCTCGACTATAGCTGGAAGCACAAGTGGCCCAAGCCACCGACGCTGCCGTTGGAAGCGGATCGGCTCGTCGTGCTCAAGAGCTTCGACTTGCTGCGACAGGATGTGACCTTTGATGCGATTTGCGAGATTGCGGCCAAGGTGCTCCAGTGCCGCATTGTCACGGTCGGCTTCATCGACGAACACCGGCACTGGTTCAAGTCCAGCATGGGCCTCGCGCAGACCAGCATTCCACGGAGCATGTCGTTCTGCGCGCATGCGCTCGCGTCCGAAGACCCGCTCGTCGTTCTCGACACCCGCGACGACGACCGCTTCAAGTTCAACCCAATGGTGACCGGCGCACACATTCAGTTTTACGCAAGCGCACCGATCGTGCACAGCAGCGGCCACGTCCTTGGCACGGTGGCCGTCATGGACCAGACGGCTCGGACGTCGTGTGACCCGAGCATTCTCGAGACGCTCGCGGCCGTCGTCATGAAGAAGCTCGAGACAACATCGTCTCAAGCACGCACGAAGGCGCACTCGGTCAGCAGCAACAGCGGGTCGCACGAGCCCGAGCACGACGACGTGCCGTCGCCGCCCGCGCCGACGCACCTCGTCTTTACGGACAAGGACTTGCTGCATCGGAGTCTGTGGGTCTCGGACGCCAAGCGCAACAATTGCTTTGTGTGCAAGAGCAAGTTCTCCATGTTTCTGCGCAAGCACCACTGCCGCATGTGCGGCGAAGTCATCTGCAAGCACTGCGAGCTCGCGGCGACCGTGCACATGAGCTCGGCAGCCACCGAGATGGAGAAGGTCGCACGCGTCCCTGTCTGCCTCACCTGCCTCGCCAAGAAGAAGGCAGCAGCAGCCGCTGCAGCCGTCGCGACGCCGGCACCTGTTGAAGACGAAGCCGCGCCAGTACCCGTCAAGAAGGCGCGGCCGATCGCCGACAGCATCATGACGGTCGATGAAATGGACGACGACGACGACGACGCGGTGCCGCTCCTCGACCGACACATGGCCTTTGACGTCGACATGTGCGAAGTCGTTTACACGGACAAGCCCCTCGTGCTCGAACCGCCGCCGGCAGCGCCCGAGCTCCAGCGGGATATTTCCCGAACAGAAATCGAGTCGATGCTCGCCAAGCTCCTCTCCCAGTCGACCGACACGCTGCATCAGCTGTCGTCGCAGGACAACCAGTATCGATGATCGTTGTGTCGTCGTCGTCGTCGTAGTGTATTTGAAGTGGATCGTGTTGGTTTGTTGCTTTGAGGTTTTCTCGTTTTCTAGTGCGGCCGCTCCTCTGGTATAGACAAGTTGTGCACATGCTTGTGGACCACGGCGCAAACAATCGGTTCCTAGTCCACATGAAGCATGCGGTCCTCGCATCCAAAGCGACAAAAGGGATGCTTCTTCCTATTATAGCACGCATACTGGAATAAGTGATGCAACGTCCTATCTATCTATCTATCTATCTATCTATCTATCTATCTATCTATCTATCTATCTATCTATCTATCTATCTATCTATCTATCTATCTATCAACGAAGTATGTCGTTGAAGAGAAGGGAGCAGAACGCGAGACGTTAATAGCTCTAGAGTCTAGTGAAGCATATGCGTTCTGGACCTAACATGGCGTTGTCGTGTCCCCATGGGCTTCAGAAGCGCAGAGACTCCTAGGGTTGCTCTCTCGCAGTATCTATGGTAACCACCGCGAATTCTACCGATAGTAGCGCTTCCTTACCGACAGACGACGGCACATCCATTCACACGGCGTCGGACATTTCGAGCAAGACATACAATACTGCTGCCCTCAGCACAGCTTACCAAGCTATTATTAATACATCCCGACAAAGAACAGGAACGAGTAAGATATCTCTCACGAGACAGTCGACGCATGAGATTCAATCTCATGCGTCGACTGTCTCGAGATGGCAATTCTCAAGCGAAAGCATGCTGCGAGCGCTGGACGAGGAGAGACGGCGCCTGTAAAGCTATAAGACAGTTTTGGCTAGTTGATCCATCGCGGCGACGACGCGTACGTCCTTCGGTGGGCATTGGGGTGTGGGAGACATCTGGCCATTGCGGCCGATCGCCAGCATCGTCGAAAGCACGTGTGTCGCCTTGAGCCAATGCCAGCTCAGGGTGCTGACGTCGCGCTGGCCCCATTCATATAAGTCATACCACGGGATGTGGCCGCCAACTATCACGAGTGAAGTTCCGAGAGCTCCTTAGATGGGTGTCTCTAATATGGCGCCAACGTGCCCATATTTATGTAGCGATCTTCGAGCGGTTGCACCACGCGCGCATTCGTTTTGAGAGGTTGTCTATTCTCAAGTACGTCTCGTTTAGTTCCGCCTGTTGCATTTTGCGATGTTGCGCGAGCGTGCTGCAACGCAGCAGTGGGGCCCACATACACGCCATTTGGAGCTCTCTCGTGCTGGCTCGCTATCCTTCCAGTAGCTGCATTCGCCTGCTACCTCATCCAAGATATCGGAGCCAGCTGAACAACGTTGTCCATCTCGGCCGACACAGCACACTCGTATTAGTCGCCATCACTTGGAAAGACTCACGTCCTCTCATGTTACAACTGGAGACAACCATTGCCGCTGCAAGCACCCAACTTCTACGCTGGACGATTATTCATGAAGCGATGGAACTTTGGTTCTATTATTATAACATAACGTTATTGCGACGTTCACGCGCCAGCACCTTCGCTGGTAAGGACTGTGACGAGAGGTGCTTGCTGTTGCACGAATAATTTTGCCAATTTGTACACGTACCGCGTGACATTTCACCACGCATGCAAGAAGCGCGGACGCTCCAACCACACTGCCTCGCGCTTGATTGGATGCTGCTGACCACAGATCGCTGTTGCATTCCGATCTCCGGCGAGCGATCCGTCCACGACGACGCATATCGCCCGCGTCAATGGCGTCATTCGAGACACTTTTGATAACATTGACGTCATATGAGACAGTCAAGGTATAAAATCTCCAAGAATACATACCGCTCCGATGTATCTTTTATACCCGCCAGTTGCTCACACTACGAAATCCATCACTCGCCGCAGCATGCCAAGCAGCATCCGTCTCCAGAGCCCGTCGCAGTCGCTCGACTGGGCAGAGCCGACGGCGACGGCCTGCGCGCTCTGCCAGCGCGCCTTCCACATTCTCCGGCGCCGCCACGTCTGCCGCATGGTAGCCCATCCTCCTGCGCCTTGTGTACATCTATCATCATGCATCGACTTGTAGTGCCAAGGCTCGGTGTGCAAGCACTGCTTGAGCAAGAAGCCGCCCAACTCGGTCAAACTTTCGGGTCGCTTCGCCAAGTGCTGCCACGAGTGCTCGCACCGCCGCAGCGCGCCATCCTCACCGGCCTACGACGTGCCGTCGCCGCTGCACGCGACGGAGCGCCAGCGCCTCGCGATGCTGCACACCGCATTGGACGTCATGAGTCTTCGACCGGAAGCGTTCCAGCAAGGCCTCGACGCGCTCTGCCACTTTGCGGCCGACGCATTCCAGAGCCCAATTGTCGCCGTGACCTTAATGGAGGCCAATGTCCACGTCTTCCAGGCCGCCGTCGGCTTGCGCAGCCTCCCGTGCCTCCCACGAGCCGATGCGCTTTGCAACGTGGCGATTACGTCCAAGCATCTCAACGTACTCTCGTCTTCTTCGTCTTCTTCCTTCTCACGAGCAGATAGGTCTATGTCGACTTGGCCGCCGCGCCCTCCAAGTATACGACCGGTGCATTTGTCCTGGCCCACGGCGTCCAGTTCTACGCGGGCGCGCCCATCATAGTCAACGACGCTGCGATTGGCACCGTCTGCCTCATGGGCCCATCGCCGCGGCGACTCTGGACCGACATGGAGACCGACCTCCTCCTCCTTCTAGCGCGGGTCGTGGCCGCCGAGCTCCTCAACGTCCCACCGATGGGGCGGGTCCCCCGTCGCAACTGTGCGACGCCGCGCGAGAGGATGCTCCTCCGCGGGTCCGAGACGGACAACCCGACGGCCCACGCCCGGACTTTGAGCCAAGCACGGACAAGCGCGATGCTGTCGCCGCGTCCGCACTCGTTCTCATCGGCGAGCAGCCTCATGCTGGACCCGCGCGACTGGGTGCCCAACCACGCGCGCAGCGGCTGCCGCGTCTGTCGCCGCAAGTTTCGTTCCGTTTCGACGCAAGCACCACTGCCGCATGGTACGACGCCCTATGATCCTCCGTGGTGTGTTGAACGATGCAATAGTGCGGCGAAGTCGTCTGCAACGGCTGCTCGCGCCTGCGCCCATTCGTGCTGCCGTTGCAGTCGCCCTCGGTGCAGATCCGCATCTGCTCGGAATGCCACGTGAGCCGGCCACCGGACAACGCACCGACGTTCTCGCCCAACATTCGCCTCTTGCATGCGTCACCAACCGCCGACGACTACCTCGTCTTTGCCCGCGACGACGCGCTCTTGAGCATGTGCCCCAAGCAGCGGGCGTCGGTCATGTACCACAACAGCCTCGAGGTCGAAAAGCTCGCACGCGCGTTTGCCGAGCTCGTGTATGCGCCGACGGCGTACCTCACGCCCGTCTCGGATGCGATGGGCATGTGGATGACGCTGCCGACGCCCGAAGCGCGGCGCACGATCCAGCACTTGCTCTCGGAGCTGCTTTTTCTCGAGCACTAGCCAGTGGTCAACTCCAATAGAACGCAATAGTATCTAAGAGTCTCTTGGAATTCTAGAGAGTCACTTCGTAGGTACTGTACGTTGCAACGCACTCGCTGTCGCCACACCAAACACGACAGATTGTCCTTGGTAGCAATCCGCGAGAAGAAGAAAAGAAGAAAAGAACAAAAAAGCAGTTAACCCCTTGAGGACTGGACCAAAATGTAAAAAGGGCGTGGTATCGAACCGCCGACTAGGCCGCATCGACCGTCGTGGCTTCGTCTGCGGCGACAGCGTTCGAGCGCAAGGCCACCATCTCCTCGGTGGCCTGGCGCACATAGTCTTCCGTCATCTCGGACACAGGCGCAAACGCCAGTCGGCCCTCGCGCTGCAGTGCGTCCCAGCGCTCGGACGGCGCACGCAGCATGTCGTCGACCATCGCGCGGCAAAGGCCCCAGCTGCCGCGGGCAATTTCGCCAAGGAGCTGCGCGCGCGTCCACTGGGCGTCACCCCAAATGACATACACGGTTGGCTTCGGCGTCCCGAAGACCTCGAGGTTACTGGGCTTGACCTTGATGCCGTCCGTCGAGTTGACAAGGCGGACGTGCCACCGACCGGCTTTTGGCTCAAACTTAAGTGCCATGCCGAGTTCGCCGTTGATCTCGGGGCGCGCGACGAGCCCTTGGACGCGCACTGCTTGCCCCGGCGATAGCGTACAGTCTGGCGCGGCCGCAAAGAGGCGGTAGGCGTGGAGAAGGGCGTCGTCCAGCGACGGGATGAGCGTATACCCACGCAGCGCGCCGCCGAGGACGAGGCAGGTGGAGATGCGCTGTGGGTCGCAGGGCCCTCCGGCGAAATGTTGCACTTGAATCGTCTCGTCCAGCAAGCGTCGGCGAAGCGTCGGGTATGCGAGCCCGAGCCGGCGAATGGCCGAGGCGACTGCCTCCTGCGCCGCATCGAGGTGCGCCAGCGGGCGCGAGATGCAGACGGCGGTCACGTGGTCGTCGGCGCACGTGGCGAGCGAGTCTTTCTGCTGCAGATAGAGCGTCGCGGGCGGCGTAAGCGCGGCAATCGCAGTCGGAACATCGGCTGGCGCGACGCCCTCGAGCGACCCGCGCAACGTCACTACGTACAACGCGCCGTGGAAATGCATCTCGAGGCGGCTCGGGTCGTCTGGGTCGGGCGTCAAGCGGCGGCGAAAGTTGTTAAGGAGCGCGTCGTTGGGCAGCGAAAGCTCCATCTCACCGCTGTCCGACATGAGCTGGTTGATGAGGTACACGCCGTGGAACCAGTAGTCGTAGCTACTCGACGGTCGGCGCTGCACGCGGTGGTCATTATCGGCGTTGCGGTCGGCCTCGAGCATCTCGGAAAAGCCAGGACTCGCCGCAATGAGGCGGTGCGTCTCGATGAGTGCTGCGATCTCGGGCCCTGTAAAGGACGCCATGAGCTCGGCGCGTGTCGGCGGCGGGCACGTGTAGCGCGCAAGGCAGACGTTGCAAATGTGATGGCGCTTGTCGTCCGTGTAGAACGCGGGGTGCGTCGGCTGCGAGACGAGCACCATGCGCTGCCAGCGCCGGAGGCAGTCGAGGTGCACGAACTTTTGGCCTAGCACGATGACAATGAGTTCGAGTGCGTAGCCTGCGAAGGCATACCGCCAGAGCACTTGCAGGGCGAGATGAGCGGCCCGTCGGCCTCATCGCCAAAGCAGTAGCGACACAGCACCTCGTCGTCTTCGTCGTGCCCCATCTTCGCGTCTGCGTGGATCTTCCCAGATTGCCGTTCGGAATTTCAACCAATCAATGACGGCGAAGCACTGGCTTCTGGGACAGGGAGGACTTCCAAGATGGAAGCGTCGGTGCTTTGCGATGCACCGATTGACTCGGCTTCTTGGTCCTTGTTGCTCGTAGATGTACGCTTGGTCAGTAGCAGCATGTTCAAGTTCGCGTCGCTAGCTCTCGCCTCGTTCAAATTTGTGCCTCACTTCAACTGCAGAGGCATTTTTGAGCTGTAGCCTTGCAACAAGTCGCTGACGAGTGCGTTCTTCTCGCACAGTAAAGAAGGGCGAGAACGAGACCGAGATAAGAGCAGCTCACACAGTACTCTAGTGTGCCGAGGAAGAACAACCTCCAACGGCCAATGAGGGTGGTGGCAAACAGAATCTAATCCACTGTTTCCGATCGAACATCAACACTGCCGCCCAAATCGTCCAATTCGAAGCTTCAACCGGCGGTTTTCCTCACGTTCGAATATGGCCAACCGTCGTCGCGACCGCCACATCCGGCGCCGAGAACAGTCCGGTTCGCGGTTTGAACGCCGCCAAAGAGCCCGCGCGTCTGCGTACGTTGCGGCTCTAAATACATGGCGCCGGTCGCGAGGTCGCCTCCTTGAGCTGTGTCGTCGAAGGGGAAGACGTGGAAGAAAAAGGGCGTCGAAACCCCCGCCGCTTCACCCGCGAACATTAGCCCCTTGACTGAGCCACTGTATGGAGCGCAACCGGCTGCTCTTTTTATCCGGATGGCCACAAGATACCTCTAGCGACGATCAGTTGCCAATTGAGCCATGTCCGTGCAAGCCGAACAGTTGAAGGCCAAGGCGAAGGCGTGCTGCGCGAGTCCAAAGGGCGTCATCACGTACCTCTGGTTCGTCATTCTCTTCTTCGCAGTCATGTTCTGCCTCGGCGCGATCGTCTTCGCCGCCAACAACAACCAAGATGGCATCCAGTACAGCAAGAGCCTCGGCTTCGCTGGCATTTGGATGATGTTTCTCGTGATCGCGCTCTCGATTGGCGGCACGCTCGTCATGCGCAAGTACCCGTCCGCGCTCTCGGTCGGCTTCTTCATTGGCGTCGTCGTCATGATGGCCTTCAACATGCTCTCGCTGAGCGTGCTCTGCTCGGGCGCCGCGTACGTTGCGCGCCTCGCCAACAATGGCACGGAAGAGGCCAACCCGCGCGGGCCCGTGCACTCGGACGAGGCGTCGGCCGTCTTTTCCTTCTTTATGTTTGTGCTCTACGTACGTATCTTCTGAAGTGTAAAAAGAGAGCGCTCATGCCGACAACGTAGAGCGTGTTTGCGGTCGTCTTGATCAAGCACCGCGCCGTGGTCATCAAGGAAGGTCTTGCGGCGGACCTCCCGGACAAGATGCTGCCGGTCGCGCCCATGGGCCCTTCGTCGCCCAAGGTCGCCAAGCTCGACGAAGTGTCCAAGACGTCGGCACCGCCCGTCAGTGTCTAAGCTGACGCGAACCACACTAGCGTCGACGCAATTCTTCTTATTCAAGCGTGCTATACAGCATAATATAGCCTGCGTTGCATAATGGTATCAGGGTAGTTGTAGAGCATTGTAGAGCTTGGTTCATGGTCGCTTGAAAGAACAAGTCCTAACAGCGCGTTGATCAATCGATCCATTGGAGAGTAGAAGCGGAATGGATATTGTCCCGTTGACAAGAAAAGATACCCTGGATATACATGACCGACCATTCTAGTAGTCGACTGGGATAACTAGATAACTCACTCTTCCTTTAGGCATCCTCTGCTACGCACCAGGTGCAAGGTCATGAGCCCAGCGACGCGAGTGCTTATGACCTAGCAACTGCTAGAAGTGCGTAGGGAGAGGATGTCGAAAGGAAGTGCAATCCCTTGTATCTTCGATCCTGTACATTTACTGGCGGTGCCATCGCCGAGTCGTAACGGCGTCAATCTTTCGAGGTCACGCGATCCAAACACGCATGCCAGAGCCTTCGCCCGAAGCGCAAGTGGAGGTCGACACGGCCAAGCCAGGGTTCAGCATCCTACTTGAAGTAGTCGACGGCTTTGATGCCACGGTAGAGATGGTGTCAACTTTCCAAGGCCGGGCGATACAGTCCGCATTCACTACAGTGCCAAGGTGCGCCCGTCGGATGACCTTGACGAACGATGCGTTTGTTGTAGCTGCCCGACGGGACGCTATTCGACTCGACGCGCAACCGCGGTCGGACGTATGAGTTTCAGGTGCCCATTCCATTCCATCGAGTAGGGGGCGAGACAACGATCGTAGGTTGGCGCCAACCAAGTCATTCAAGGCCTTGACAGTGCCATTGTACGCGTACGCTCATCGCCTTGGCGCTACTTGCGGTCTCATCGTCGGTGTAGATGAGCAAGGGACAGATTGCGCGACTGCGCATTCCGCCGTCCATGGGGTACGGGGAGCACGGGTACCCCCCCGTGGTGCCCCCCAACACGGAACTGTTTTACGAAGTCGAGCTCCTCGTCTTTTCGTCCTTATAAGTTGACGCTGTATCGTCTATTTTACTTGGTGCTCGTTTTGTGTTTTGCTGCTCGTCGGGCCGGCGCCGTTGGTGACTTGGTCGCTTGGATGACGCTCGCACTACCTTCGGCCGTCAAAAGCGAGTTGAGGTACAGTCGCTGCGCGGGTACGGGCGCCGTCGTCGCCCGCGATGTAAACGGCTACCACAAATATTGCTCGTCAGTGATTGACGATAGCGCGCAATATGTATACTGTCGGGACGGCGGGGACGATAGGCGTCGTGGGCGAGTACGGCTCGGTGCTGTCGAGCGTCGCGCCGTGTGGGACGCAGCCAATGCCTTGATGAGCCGCGGTCTTGGTGGTGGTGGACGCAAACGTCAAGTCAAAGTCCCCCGCGACCCATTTCGTTGGCGACCGATCGCGCCACGCGGGAAACACGGGCGGCTCGGTCCACGTCATATCAAACGTGTCCGACTCGAGCTCGGTCGACGCAGGGTTGCGCATGACCGTGTTGTAGCGCAGCGGCGCTTGAATCTCCTTTGGTTTAAGCCGAAGCCGAAAGGGCGACTCGATCGGGTTGGCATATGTGTCGTGCTGAAACTAGCAGACAATATTGTATGTGTTGCTAATGTCCAAGACGTACGACGGCCGTCGGGGTGCGAAACGGTGACGTGGTGACGGGCGCGGTCGACAGCGCCACTTTCTCGCCACCGCCTTTGTATTGGCGACCTCGCGCTTCGTAATGGCTACGGTGGTCAAGAGAGCTGAGCATCGCATGAGGCAAAAGGATATACCCAGCGTCAATGTAAGGCGTTTGAATCTCTTTGGCCGTGTCGCGCGGCCATATCCTACATAGGCGCGTCGCGTTCACATGGAGATGTGGTCGAGAGCGTCCATACAGGGGGTTGGTCATGGTCTTGGCGTGGATGCCATAGTCGGTCGTCCAGTAAGCTGGCGTTTGCTGCACAAATTCTTGGACGCGCTCTTGGTACCCCGCGTACATGTCGGCGCTGGTCCATGGCGTCAATTCGATATGGACAAAAGATGATTGTTGTACGTGGATTTGCCGTACAGCCGATGCACGCGCTTCTCCTTTGTCGTCGGCGACTCGTCGGCGAGCTTCTTCTGCAGCTGCGCGTCGTGGCGCTGCCGCTTCTCCTGCATGCGCTTGACGTCGAGCGAGAACATGCAGCGCCCGCGTGATCCCGTCGCCTCAAGAGACGTATAAATAGCTCAATCGCTTTGGGTCATGCAACTTTTCAACTTTTGGTCCGATAGCACAGTCGACCGATGCGCTACACTGTACACACCCGCCACGGACGACGCTGCATCAAGTAGCAATTCGAGACGACGCCATCCTGCCCGCGAGACAAAAACGAAGTGCAGACCCGTCGTCCTCTATAGTGAAAGCAGCCATGGAATGATTTATTCAAATTTCAACAACATGCAGCAGTGCCAAGCCCTCAATAAATCTCAGGAAAACTAATACTGCTACCCCGTACCCTGATTATGAACTTGCCCAAGAAATACGTCAACTCGTGGTTTGATAAAGGTGTAGTACAAAGATATACTAGTAGCATTTTACGATTTACTCGATTTTCAACTACACACAGTTCTATATGAAACCCAACATCACGGCTCTCTTGAAGACCACGAGACGTGGCGTGCCAAATGACAATTGGTGCTCTGGACCCGAACGAGGATCACCATCAGGTGTCCGCTATGTACGACCAACGACGTCACGGTACAAAATCCTGCCCCCCGGCGTCCTCGTACCGAGTCGGTACCCTCGTCGTACCGGTACGGGAGTGTATTATTTAGCGGTGCGATTGAGATACTGTTTTCAAGCAACACACGAATCTTCAAGTTGTAAAGCGACAGGGTCGTGAAATGTACTAACTCATAGTAGAAATTATCGCGGTGCAATTTGGCGCCAAAAGCGCTCATGCCAACGGAAATTTTTCAGCACGTTCGCCGCCACACGCGAATGAAGGTCGTTGTGGGGCTTCTATTTTTCACCTTTCACACGGTTTTTCGCACATAACGCACGTGGGAAATCAAGGTGGTGGGGACGGACAGAATTCAAGAAGCGCCCAAGCAGCATGCAACGCAAGCAGCGCTATGGCAGCATCCCGCTCTGGGAGCTCAGCAACCTCGCGTCATGGCGATCGCTCAACGGCGCTGTCGACGAGGACCCGGCGCCGGCGACGACGACGACGGCCGATCCGCCGGTCGTGCGTGCCCATCTCGACGTCCGCGGCCTCACCTGCGGCACGTGCCGCCTCGAGTTCGAGGACGTCAAGGAGCAGCAAGCGCACTTCAAGACGGACCTGCATGTGTACAATTTGAAGCGCAAGTCCAAGGGTCTCGACTGCGTGACGCTGGACGCCTACGACGCGTATGTGGCGTCCCAAGCCACCAAGACGACGACGGCATTGGCCGCTGACAGCGACGACGACGACGACGAGGCGCAGGATGCGTACCGGCATCCGCTGGACCTCTCGCTCTCGAGCGACGAGAACGACAGCGACGACGAAGGCAGCGAAGCCAACCTGCAGCGCGAGCCGCTGCAAGCGTTCACGGACAACACGACGCTCTTCAAGATCTACAACGCGTCGTTTCCGCAGTGGTCAGAAAAGGACAAGGCGAGCTTTCAAGCGACGACCGACATGGTGCAAAGCTTCTCGACCGATGCAGCGTACTACCAATGGGCGGTCTTCCTCTTCCGCGCGGGTCGGTTCGCGGGCGCAGTCTTCCAGAAGGACAAGGTGCTCGTGCACAAGGCCTTCCAGCGCTACACGACCCGGCGCAAGCAAGGCGGGAGCCAGTCGGCGCACGACGCCGCCGGCGGCAAGGCCAAGTCGGCGGGCGCGCAGCTGCGTCGGTACAACGAGATGGCGCTCCAGCAAGACATTTCGGAGCTCCTCACGCTCTGGAAGACCGAGCTCCAAGGCTGCAAGCGCATCTTTCTTGGGTCGGCCAAGACATCGCGCGGCCTCTTCTTTGAGAAGACTGGCTTGCAGGCCGGTGCGTCTCGCGAGGCTACATGCACGCCACTTACCATATCTTGGTTGTAGACGACCCGCGCATTCGCAAGGTCCCCTTTGGCACGCTGCGTCCGACATACGACGAGGTCTGTCGCGTGCGTTCGGTCCTCGGCAGTGCCTCCTACGGGCCGTTCCTCCCGTCTGCGTACGAGCCCAAGCCAGTCGCGGTCAAAACACCCAAGAAGAAGCCCTCGGACAAGGCAAGCACGACGGAAGCCATCCCTCCAGCCATCGATTTGCCTGCTGAAGTCATCCCGGCGTTGCCCACGCCGGCCCTCTTGATCGCTGTTGAGGCCGGCGACCTCGCGGCGGTTCACGCCCTCTTGGCCGACGGCGCCAACGTCAACATTTCGCACGTCGACGGCAGCCTCCGCACGCCGTTGCACATCGCATCGGCCCTTGGCCAGACTGATTTGGTGCGTCTCTTGCTCGAACACGGCGCCGACCCGTGCGCCCTCGACGACCATCTTCGCGTCCCGTACTTTCTGTGCGCTTCAAAAGAAACGCGCAACGTCTATCGGCGCTACCGCGGGCTGGCGCCGGCGCAGTGGGACTATGAAGCGGCCAAGATTCCGGACGCGCTCACCGACGACGTCGAAGACGCTCGCAAAGCTCGCGACAAGGAAAAGAAGAAGCGCGCCAAGGAGCGCAAGCAACAGCAGATGGCGGCCGAGCGGGCGCAACAGGAAGTGGAGGCGGCGGCCGCCGCGGCACGGGCGGCGCGGGCGGCGCTTGAAGCGGCGTGTGCCATGTGCGGCGAGCCGTCGGGCGCCAAGCCGTTTCTTCGGTTGACGTACAAGTACTGCTCGACGGCGTGCGTGAATGCACACAAGCGCGAGCTCATGGCGATGGCCGCCATGAAGCGGTTTGGTAGCTAACTTTGCGGTTTATGGGCTCTGCGAACTTGAGGTGTCGTGTTAAAGCAACGAGGTCTACATCCCAAGGAAAGACGCACGCGTGAGAAGGGATTTGCGAGAGGGATACAAAGGACGCGTCTCGGACACTGCATATCGAACCAACTCTATTTCCTGTCATCTCGTGCGGCCACGTCATGGTATCCGGATGCCAACGCCACCTGTTTTGCGGTTTCAACGGCGATTTGCGCTCGGCCAGAGATCGATCCGCAGAGCTGCACGATGCGACGACGAAGCAGCGTCTTTGTGGCGTCGCTGCTCGTCCTGTCGGCGTCCGCGTCGTCCATCGTGCGGCTGGATGTCAACAATGTGCCCATGGCCTGCCGCGTCGAGGGCTGCTTTCTCGTCTGCAACATGGACCATGTTATAACCAACGTCTGCTTGCACTTTGACGTGGCCAACACTAGCACGTGCGCCCTAAACGAGTGTACGCTCTCCTGCGGGCATACGCACATGACGATCTGTGCACCCCAACGTCTCAAGGGTACGCCTCGGCGCTTGTCGCTCAACGTCCCCGCCCACCGCGCCCTCGGCGCCACCATCTTTGATGCGGGCGCACCGCCGCTCTGGCCGCATGTACGCTGTTGCTTGGACGGCACTCGACATACATGCGTGTCTGGATAGGGTCAAATCTGCTACAAAATGGATCCAGATGTGAACGCGACAGCGATCTACGAGGCGATGGCGGTCTGGGAGGCCTCGACGCCACTGCGGTTTCTGCCGTGTCAATCAACGTCGGATGCGTGCTGCGACCCGTGCGGCGACTATGTCCACATCCAAGGTGGCTCGGGCTGCTACGCGTCGCTCGGGTATGTAGCGGGTGCGTGCGCGTATGGCGGCCAAGCTCTTGTGCTCGGGCCCGCCTGCTCGACGGGTAACATCATCCACGAGCTTGGCCACACCGTCGGCCTCGTCCATGAGCACCAGCGCGCCGACCGCGACGACTACGTTAAAATCTACCTGGAAAACGTCGATCCGGTCCACGCACCGGACTTTGCCAAGGGCTCGATCCTCGCCCATGGCTCGACTGTGAGCATCGTGTCGCTCTGGTCGTCGACCGACAACTACGGTAGGCCAGACCCTATGGACGCGTCTCGATCGCGTCACGTTAGACTACGATTCCATCATGCACTATGGCCTCCACGACTTTAGCATCAACCAGCTGCAGACGCTGCTGCCGATCACGCGCGTGGGTGACCGCGACTCGGTTCGAGAAGACCTTTTTGGACGACTCGGTCAACGGCACCGGTTGAGCGCCGGCGACGTACAAGCCATCGCCGAATTATATGGCGGCGATGATGTGTCAAGCACCTAAAACGACGGCAATCCACATACTCGTGTGGCGCGTACGAGCGTTGCGTGGACCTTTGAACCATTCGCACATACATGGCTAGCACCAAAAGCTTCCTTCCTCCTGGCCATGGCAGTGAGTGGGATCGACCACCGCTTGCATGGAACCGCAAGGTCGTCGGGCACGATGTGGAGTTGTAGTGCCTCGATAAGACACGTACGACAACGCATCATGTCCAGTTCCTATTACACAGCTCAATTGGGCTTTTGACGCTTCAACGTCTGCTCTTCCATCTCTCGCGCTTCGGCCAATTGAATGAGGTCCGCAGCAATCTTGTTGACAGCAGCGTAGTTTCTTGCAGTTGCTAGTAAAGATACTGTGAGCGTCCGAGAATGCTGAGAGGATGATGCGTATACGGCGTTCTCCATGAGGAGCTCGTCTTGCTTTGCCTACACGTTGCCTGCGCATGAGCTTTCTGTGCGATTGACATTTCGATGACGCACCTCGAGCTCGTCGACGCGTCGCTTTAATGTGTGCGTGTCTTGTGTCTAGCGACATCTTCTCTGAGCCTCTTCCATAGGAAACATATAATGTACCTTGAGTACGTCGATCTCGGCTTGGAGTTCTTTCGCCCGGTGCTCCGCCGCGTTCAGACGGTAGCGCTGTATTTAACATGAGTCACTGCATCGTATATTGCAGGAGCATCGTACGAGAGAGGCATCCGCCTTCTGGAGCTGCTCGGCCTTGCTCTGCAAGACGGCCTTCTCGGTCTCGAGCTGCTTGACGCGCGCACGCAGTCCTTCCGTCATCGCTTCGTCGTTATGGATGTTTTGTTTGACGTCTTCGAGCTCGGTCGTTAAGCGCTCGTTCTCTTCTTGGTATTTCTACGCGCACGCTTGCAAATGTCGTGGCATGGAAAGGTACCTTGACGTCGCTTTGGACAAGGGTCAGCGCGCTCAGCACGCTCTGATACTCAGCCTTGATCGTGTCAACCTCGGCCCGTGTCGCGTCTCCAATCTCGTCCTTGAGCCGCTCCATGTCCTCTGCCCGCTGGTGCTCCTTGGCATCGACGCGGTGCTGAAAATGAGAGATCGACTACACAACGTAGGAGATGCATGGCCCACTCGTGAAAGCGTCTCAAAAACCTGTGCGAGGACTGTTTCGGTCTGCTGGTACTTGACGATCTGGTGCTCGAGCACCGCGATGCGTCGCGTGAGCTGCAAGCGCTTTTCCCGCAGTTGAAGACACTCGTTCGCGAGCGTCTCGCGCGCGGTGCGCTCGACCTCGAGCGCTGCCTAGGCGATTTCAAACAAGCAAGGTAAGGACGTCCGCCCATGCGTCATCGATGGTCGTACAACGAGAGCTTCTCGGGCCGTCGTATCGCTGGTTGCGGCAGCTTTCTCGTCCTCAAACTGCATGAGCTTTTCTATACACGCATGATGGTACCAAGGACGAACGGGAGAGGATGTACGGAGCGCTGTCTTGGTTGCTTCGTGCGTCTGGAGGAGGAGCTCGCGCTCGGTCTGGACGTTCACGAGCTCGATCTGGACATGGCGATGGGATTCCATGACATCCGCCATCTTCTTCTTCCACTTGTGCTCGGCCTCGAGCTACACGTTTATGCATCCTTCATATCATAGGATAGCCTGCGAGCTGGTAGACGTACTTGGGCTTGCTGGATGAGCAGCGCGAGCTGGGCGCCCGTGTACGTCTCGTCCGGGCGGATGCGCTGGAGCGCGCTTGCCTCGCTTCCGTCGACGACATGCTCCTCGTCCTTGACGTGTTCTTCCTCGGCTTGGTTGTCTTCGTGCTCGGGCCCATGTCCCTTGGTCTCGTCCGGCGTCCCCATGCCGCAGTCGCGCGGATCTCTTGCCCTCGTCGCCAACTGCGTTTTAAAAGTTTGAACAGGAATGATCCGGATAAACGGCGCCGGATAACATTTAACGTGGGCAGAACGGAGCGTCGTGAGTAATGCCTTTCCCGCACATCAACGTTTTTCACGTCAGCGTGGGATTTAACGACGGTGAAAAACGACGGTGAAAAGACCACATCGAAACAGAGTTCGGCGCATCCAGCGGTTGAAGGAGGCTAAACAACGATGTGTGGCAAAGGTCCCCTCAATAGCACGACCAGCGAATGACCGAAGGACGTTCATGAGAGCGTTGGTGCATGCTACGTGCTTGGACTTGTTTGAGGGTCAAGCCAAATGCGCCTGATGTGACTCTGATATGGGCGACGATGGAAACAGTGGATGCGAATCATTCTCCCACACGCTGGACGGCGCGAGGGCTGGCTAGCGCGCCCCATTGCTATTAACTTCGCCGAAGGCCACATCCTTATTGAATTGCCATGTCCTCGATGGGCCAAGCGACGAGCAGACGGCTGGTATAAGGTACTCATTCGGAGGACGGTGTCGCTTGCTAACATTATTTAAAATTCTGTAATAGTGTGACTCACAGTATTCTCCGGGATTTCCGCTGTCGTGGTTGGTTGGGTGGGCTTGCGTCCAATGAATGGCCCAACTTGGTGTGCTCCACCAACCAGATCCAAAATCTTAGTTTTGCGGCCGACAAGATGGCGTCTACGCAGAAGCACCGCTTGAGCGCGTTTAGCCCGTGCCAGGCGTCGTTCGTGACCGTCTCGGATGACAACCGTGTCAAGCTCTGGGATGCGGTACGCAGCTCCTGTCCTTTCCGACTTTGCACTTATGCCATCGCTGCAGGCGTCCGGCGCGCTTCGGTCCGAGTTGAAGGAGCGCGATCACTTGAGCTACAAGTACACGTGTTTGGCGTGGTCCTCGACGTCGCCGTGGGTACGCCTACCCCGCCGCGCCTCCAGCAGTGCGTAATGATGACATAGGCGGCTTCGGGCAAGAAGGCCAAGCGCAGCGCCGCTGGCGACCTTGGCATCATTGCGCTCGGCACGAGCACGGGTGCGATCATTGTGTGGAACCTCGAGAAGGGCGAGGTCGGCCGCGCGCCTTGCGCGTGACAACGTACGCGTCTGATTGGCATCGCCGTGGCGCTCATCCCGATGACCTGCAATAGAACGACCACGGCCACGGCTCGGCGGTCACCGACATTGTGTTTTCGTCCACGGGCACGTCGCTCTTTTCGTCGGCGGCGGAGAAGTACGTCTTTGAGTGGAACGTCAAGGACGCCAAGATGGTCCGCAAGATCAAGGTGGGCTCGGACGGCGCGACCAAGCTCGCGCTCTCGTCCAACGACGACGTCCTTGCGGTCGGCGCCAGCTCGATCAAGCTCTTTGACGTGGTCTCGGGCAAGAAGAGCAAGCGTCTCACGTTTGGCCACGCGTCGGCCGTCACGCAGCTCTTCTTCTCGGCCTGCGGTCGCTACCTCTTCTCGTCGTCGGCCGAGCGCTTTGTCAACGTCTTTGACGCGACATCCGACTCGGAGGATCCGCTGTACAATTTTTCGTGCGACTCGACGCCGGTCCACGTGCATGGCCGCGTGACCGTGGCCAAGAAGGCCAAGAACTCGACCGCCATTGTGGTCGCGACGACCGAAGCCGGCGCGGTCTTTGTCTGGACGCACGCGATGACCGCCGCGTCGAAGCCGATCGCGGCGGTCGCCAAGGTGCTCTCGTCGGCGGTCCTCGTCGCGTCGCTGACCTCGGCGACCGAGACGTCGGTCATTGTCGCACGCGGTGCGGCGATCAAGCCGCATTTCGAGACGGTCGCGCTTGTCGATGCGGACGGCGCCTTCCGTGGCGACATCACGCTCGACGCGCTTGACAACACGGGCCTCCTTCTCGAGAAGCCGTCCAAGAAGGCCAAGACGACCGACGAGACCGAAGTGGTCGCCAAGACGCACGTGCCGTCGCTCCTCGAACGCGGCTCGGCCAAGACGTCGACTGCCATTGACTCGACGGTGGAGCATAACGCGGACGAAGACGAGGATGAGGACGAAGCGACGCTCGGTGAACGCGTCCAGGCGCTGGCCGACGAACTCGAACACAGCGAGAACGAAGACGAAGACGCCGACACGGTCTTGACGGACCAGTACCGCAGCACGTCGCGCGTCAAGGCGCAGGCGTCGTCGACGTCGCTCGTCTCGGTGCTCGAGCAGGCGCTGCAGTCCAAGGACAATGTGCTGCTTGAAAACTGCCTCCGCGTCCACGACCTCAAGGTCATTGACGAGACGTGCCGTCGCCTGAGCCCGACCAAGGTCTTTCCCTTCGTGCTGCTGCTTGTCGAGAAGCTGGAGAAGCGCCCGACGCGTGGTGCGACCATGTGCGTCTGGATCAAGTACCTTCTTTTGAACCACACGGCGTACCTCATGACGGTCCCGGACGTTGTCGACAAGCTCTCGGGCCTCTACCAGGTATTATTGGTTTTTTGCGCCTTTTTCCTGAATTTGAAATTGCTCACGATGGCCCGTCTAGTCGCTCGACGCGCGCCTCAAGGTCTTCCCGCAGCTGCACAAGCTCAACGGCCGCCTAAACCTCGTCCTCGGCCAGATTGCGGGCCGCGCCAACGCGATTGCGGTCGACGAGACGCCGCTGGTGACGTACCGCGAAGACGACGAGGACGCCGGTGAGGACGAGAATGACGAGGAAGAGACGGCCGACGACGACGACGAGGCCGAGGATGACGAAGACGACGAAGACGACGAGGACTCGGAGTAACTTTGTGCACACGATAGATTGATTACAACTACTAATAGATATTAACAACACCACCATATACGTATATGTGTCGTCTCTGAATCGATCAACTAGACGACATCAAGACAGGTGGCGACGTGCAGCTCCTTGTGGGCAGGATGAAAACATAAACATGCTCGATTTGTTAAGCCAAACAAGGGTTGTTAGTATGGACCATGACGAGGCGTAGCAGAGACTGCCCACGAGCGACGCAGATATCGAGGAGGGCGCTCGAACGACTTGCGACTAACACCAATTCCACCGCGTTGGCAACGAGTTGCCGGCAAAACGACCGACAAGTGTCGAGACGTTCTCAAGGCGGCGCCACGTCGACTCGAGGCGTCAACAAGACGCACAGGATGGAGACGATATCGCTTTCCATGATTGTCTGCGTCCTCGCCATCGTCATGGCCATTGCGACCTAAGTCAAGTAGTTCAAGCGAGACCTGAACACGACAACTACCTGGGTCGTCGAGCCTCAAGGCAACGTTGATGAAGCCAAAGAAGCGTGCCCACCAGTATGTCCTATGCCCAAATGGGTCAAGAGTCCTCCGATAGAATGGCACCTTATGACAGTCCCCACGTTGGATGCTTGAATAGCTTGCGTGGATACATTTGGACAGATCGCAAGCATCAGAATACGGTTCAACCAATCCCTGAGCTTCATTTGCGCCACCGTTAGAGCTGTTCGATCATTGTCAAAGGCACGTGGTCATGGGCAATGTCCTGGGTAATCTCTGGAGTGCTCTGACCGACACGGCCTTCTATGCGCTGGTCCCACCGGACGTCTTTGGCACGGAGCATTGGGTCTTCGTCGAGTGTAAGCGCATTGCCTTAGCCTGGCACGTCCGACCGATCCCATCTGGCCGCGCAATGGCGTCGATGCACGTTCAGCCGAACCTCCTTTCCGCAAGCGTCAAACCCTGCATGCTCGTCTCGAGCTTCCGCGAGCATATTGTGTCCAAGCGCGAAGCAGACGCGGGCGCCGCGACGTACATCTTGTCGTACGTCTGCTATGCGCTTGCCGGTACCTGGAACTACGGCTTTGTCATGGGCAGTCAGTGGCGAGAGGCCACGGGCTACGAGCTCGTCATCAAGGCAGACACGGGCGCGGTCATCATTCCCTTGAACCACCCGACGTTGATTGTGCTGACTCTAGCCGGCTACGCGTTGCGGCCCTTCGATGCGCTGCCGCTGGCGTCGCACTCCGTCGCGGCAGTGCAGACGGACACGGCGACGATTGTGGGCCACTTTCTTGCCCATGGCCGTAACGCAGGGCTCGACTACGCGGCTCTCGATCTCTTGAGCGCGCATTTGTCACCGCCGCCGGTAACCGACATGCTTTTGCCGTGCATCTTTCTCGACGGGACGCAGTGCGAGGTCCTGGTCGCTCATATCCTCGATGTTGCCCATGCGACCTTTCAACGGCGGGGAAGAGAAGACACGCGGGCACTGCGACGACCAGTTGCTGGCGTGGTACATCCGCGCGACGTCGACGACACGACTGGACAAGGTACAACCTCTATCGCCACTATTTTCGCTAACGGTGTGGCTGCGTAGAGCGTCCGACCAAGTTGATCAAGTCGTATCAAACCAACGATGCGGGCACGCTGACGGCCGCCGACGTGCCCGACCTCGAGCGAGCTCGAGTGGGCGCAATGCTCCAGACGACCAAGCTTGCGACCATTTTTGACCACTATGGCGGCTTTCCACCGTTTGTCTACGTCCGCAAGGAGATGAAGATGGCGTGGGACCTCTTGCGCGTTAACTTTACGCTGCCCAAGAACGGAGACGGCGGGGCGTTTGCTGCGCTCCAAGTCGCCGCGAGCAATGCCGCGGGCAACGCCGCGGGCATCACCACGTCACCCGCGATGCCTGCTACCCCTGCTTGTCACGGGGTCGCCGGGCGTCGGCAAGTCGGTGCTGCTCGTGCTCTTTTGCGTCTACCTCGGCGTGTACCACGATTTCAACCTTCTGCTCTTGCGCGCTGTAAAGAGCCAAGCCACCGTCAGCACGGACGCCGTCGCTCGCACGGACGCTGTCCTTTGGTTTCGCGGCGGCCACGTCACCAAGTACCCGTGCTTTGACCGGCAAAACCTCTCGGATCTCATGGAGACGTTTCGAGCAGAAAGCCGGGTCCACCGAAAAAAGTACCTCCTCGTCGGCGACGGCTACCTCGAGTCGGACATTCGCCACTCGTGTGCGGTGATTGATGTGTGCCACATCATTTCGTCCTCGGCGCAGTACCGCATCAAGGACGATGACCCGCGCGTGCCCTTGATTGTCCCCGCGTGGTCGAAAGATGCTCTTTGCGCCGCGCTCGCAGCCAACGACGAGATTTTGCCCACGTTGGAGGAGCGCTACGCGCACTCTGGCGGCAGCTTGCGCGCGTTTCTTCGGTCGCCGACAAGCCGACGATCCAATGCATCACGTAGCGTGTTGGACGACGACGCTCGCATGTACATTCAAGACATTTACCAGCACGAGCATTACATGCACGTGAAGCACTGCCGGCAGATCGTCGATGCCAGAGTCGACCAGCGTTTCTGGACACCCAAGACGAGCGTCGATGACTTTGAGGAGATGCTCGGGTGGGTCGAGACGACCGCGAATGCGTCGCTGCACCAATCACTCTTTGAAGCCTTTCTGCACAAGCTTGCCTACGACGGCATCCTCGAGCTGGTGCTCACGCGCTGTGATATATCGACGACGGAGACGCTGGACCTAGCGATCTTGCCGCAAACAGTGGGCCAACAGCCGCCACGGGACGACACCACAGACGATGTCGTCTCCAAGCAATCTTGCATGGCATTTCTATGGACGGGACTGGCCGACGAGATGTACTGGACGCCGGACCACGTGGTCTTTCCTGGTGTCGACGCGATCCTCGTGCAAGGCCAGTGCATATGCTACCTTCACATGACGGTGACGCCGGTGCACAGTCTCCAGTGGGACACCATCACCGAGGTGCTTCAGGCAGTCCAGAGCAACGCGCGTCTCGCCGGCTTTGAACACAAGTATGTGATTGTGGCGCCACCAAGCACCGCATGGGTTCAACACGTAGCACCAATCAGTGGTCTCCGTGTGTACCTCGCATCGGCCAGGCACCGAAGGGGCACAAAACGCCTCGTGTCGTTATTGTAGATTGATAATTCACAATATTCCGTTTTTATGGCCACGGGTGATCTCACGTCGATAGTTGGGCATCTCTCCACCTGCTTTTCGCGTTGTTGGACTATTTTGTTCTTTTGTGTCGGCTCTCTCTCGTGTTTGTGATCCCTCGCATCGCCTTAAAGAGGATTAATATACTAATAAAATACCCGCCTTTAAAGTTTTGACGGCTTCACAAGTAGGAATCCAGCGCTATCGTCCGAGCTCACGACTCGGCACAAGTCTGTAAAATGTGTTGGATGTGGGTGGCCGCACGCGTTGCAAAGACGTTGGTCTCGTCGTTTGTCCAGCGTGCGAGCGATCCTGGGTTGCACCACAAGAGCCTACCGACATGTTTCAAAGTATCCATGTATCAAGCGAGCGTACGTGTAGATGTCGAAGCAGTCGTCGCAAATCCATACTCGGACGCGGTAGTTGCTCGCAAGCGTAAGGTAGATGACCGAGACGAGCCAGTAGAGCCGCAGAGCGTCGAGAGCCTCGTCATTTTCGGTCGCGGCAAAGAGGAGACCCGCACGCATCATCGCTCGCTGAAACCACTTGTGGTACGTTGGTGCCGAGACCATCAAATCGAAAAAATGCACTGTCGTCGGCAACAGCGAGGTATCGGGAAAACACTCGGTCATCTAGCTCGTGCTAGTGTTGACTCTTGACAACAAGGCACGTACTTCATGGTGAAAGGCGTAGAGCTGCAACAAAACCGCGGCTTGTGTCTCGAGAATGCGCATGCGGAGCGTCCTTGCTACCGCCTTGTCGGGTTCGGAAAGCGCTGTGTCTGCTTCGCCTTTGGTATAATTAAGCGCAAAGACGGCCGCCACGTCACGGAACGAGTGACCACTATACTTGAAATTCAGTGAGTGGCAAAAAGGGGGCGTGCGTCACCAGCGCTTGAGAAATGTCTGCCGTTCCATTAGTGCGTGGCTGGCGAACAGCATGCCGTGAAAGCAGCTGAGCAAGGCGAGTACTAACCTATCTCGTCCAATGGTTCGTTAGACCTAGGAACGAATAGCTGAGATGTTACTCGAGCTGGGCGGCGCGGGGAAGATCGCTTGCGCTGCGGTCGTCGAGCTGCATCAAGAGGTGCAGTAGTAGCGACGGCAAGCCATGGCACACCATGTCGCCAGTGTGCAACATAGTGTCTTCCTACAATCAACTTTGGTACTGAGCAGAGAATACCTCGGTACATTGAAGAAGAGGCGCTTCAGTAGCACTGCATCCACGGCCGACAGACTGAGCTCCTGCAAGAGACTTTGCCGCATGACGATATCGGTCGTGTTGGCAAACTCGGCCACGATTGCGTGAAAGAGTAGTGTGGTTTGGGACGACGATGTCGTCAGCTTCTTGGGCGCCAGCACACATCGCTAGTCCATTGTTATACTCTTTTTTCATACGAGTATATTGCGAGCACAACATTTGTACCTCGAGGTACGATGCCCAGCTTTGGTCGAGGTAGACAAAGGCCTTGGACGCTGCTTCGAACGATGCCAAGTAGTAGGCTACAGCAACCAGCTTTCAATCCTACTTGATCCAACAAGACAATAATGTTGTACTTGTCGGCGCCTTGCCAAGGTCGTCGCGGAGCGTAATCGCATACAATTCGCTGTCGTCGCAGAGCAGAATTTGCCGCTCGGACCCAAACTTTCTTGGAATGACCTTGGCAAGCGACGTGATGGCGCTCATGTGCAACACGATCGGGCGCGAGGTCGTTTTTTGAAGATCAAACAAATAGATCTTATTGCGGCCAATGGCAACGAGATAGAGCGCTACGAGATCCTGTATCAACCTCCATGATCCCTTGCAATCGGTGTGTACCCATGCCGTGCTTGGACTTGCCCGCCATTGGCTCGTGGTAGCGCACGCTTTTGTACTCGCGCTCCGAGAGGACGACGCGGCGGCGCTCAATGTCGAGCGTCTGCGGCTTGCAGAGCGTCGGGTACATCTTTTGAAAAGACAAGTGATTGGCTCTAGCGTGAAACCTCCGACATGGGTCCCAAGGCATAAAACCCGTTGTTTATGCCCTGAGGAAATGACATCAAGATTGCTGCCGCGCAGACAAGGTCAACACAAGGTCTTCACCGAGAGCACTGGGAAATGGATCCTGCATGCTTGATATATAAAACACAAGTTGAAGTCGAGTCTCCATAAACTAGCAACGTCGCGGACGGCTGGTCTTGCTAGATCTGAGATCATTGTGTGCAAGGGTGTGGCTTACTCTGTGGTGCTAGTCCACACTCTTGATATACGCTGGATGTTTTGCGGCTGCTGCACAAAGCGCCAGGAGAGCTAGACACATTCGCCTTCAATGCAAGTCCTTTGTTTGTAAACGTTAGACGGGCTCGGCCAGCATGGCGACGCGTGTAAGCACTTCTTTGAGGTGCGGGTTCTGATCTTGGAGTGCTTGGATGAGCTCTCGGATCTTGCGCGTGTCCTCGGTCGCCTTCTCGCGCTCTGCGAAGCACTTGGCCTCGTTCGACGGGTCAATGCCCTTGCCTTGGGCAATGTGTTCCCAACGCTTTAGAAGCCGCTGCTTGCGGGTTTCGTTGTCAATGAAGCGTTGCTTGTCGTACAGTGCTTGGTTGATCGTGCGCTGAAGGTTCGCCGCCCGCTCTTCTTGCTGCTTGAGCTCGCGGCTGATCTTGTCCATCTGGAACGTCACGTCTTCGGTCTGGATCGAGCGCTGCTTGATCGCTCGCTCCAACGCGTTCGTTTCTTTGGCGGCTTTGCGGCACTTGTTTTGGAGCGTCGCGACCTTGGTCAAGAGCGACGCTTGGGTCACGTCCGAGTCTTTCTTGCCGCGTCCGCGCATCGCGATCGCGTCACGCTACATTCTCAAGTTCTAAAACACATAAGCCGCGTGGAACTATACCTTGTGGATCGCGCGCTCCATATCGAGCACCATGCGTTCTTGGTCGCGCTCGAGGGCCTCGAGGCGGAGACGCATGCGGTGAATCTCTTTTTCCATGTTGCGCGCTTCGGCTTGACCGACTTCCGGGTCGAGAGCGGCCTGAGTCTCCTTCTCGATCTGGATCTTTTTCTCCCAGAGCATGATCTGGCGCTCGACTTCAATGATCTGGTCGAGCAGCATTTGCTTCTCGGCCTTGATGGTTTGCGCTTGGGCCTCCATCGCGATCGACTCGGCCTCGAGCTCTTTGAGCTCGCGCTTGAACTCAATCTCAAGACTGAAATTGACGTTCTGGAGCAATTCCTGCTTGTCCTTGTTCTTGGCAATGAGCTCGTTGAGCTTGACGGTATCGATGTGCATGCTCGTAATGCCCGCGCGGAGCTCCTTGACGTCCGACTGCAAAAGACTGCCCTCGCCCACGAGCCGCAGCTGCTTTTGTTCGAGGATGCTGGTCTTGCTCTTGAGCTCTTGGTTCTTCTCGCGAATGTCTTCGCTCTCGGCCGTCAAGTTGACCTAAATACAAACAAGTCGCATCGACAACAGACACATTGTTGGTAGTACCAAGGACGTTTGAATCTGGAGCCAATCACGCTGGAGCTCGACGTTTTCCTTCTTGCGCTGCGCTGTCTCTTTCTTGATGTTTTTAATCGTCGCCTCGAGCGGCCCCGTGTTCTCATCTTCCATGTTGGACACTAATTGCTCGTACTTCTTGTTGAGTCGGTCCAAACGGAGCATCTAAAACGCGTGGACTCGGACGACACGTCCTCTAACCACATGGCCGATAGTACCTTTTTCTCGATCTCGTCGTTGCGCTGGCGGATCTCGAGCTCTGTCTTCTCGACAGCGAGGTCTTTGGCCTTGAGCTCGGTCACGTTCTTCTCCTGCTCTTCCTTGAGCTGCGCGCTGTGCGCTTGGACGTTGAGAATGTCGACGTTGACACGCGCCATTTCGTTCTTGATGTTGGCATACAAAATCTCTTTTTCGTGGATGAGCGTCTGGATCTTCTGGGCTTCCTTCACGAGGTTGTTGGCGGCCTTGTTCATCGTCGTTTGGGTGTTTTTCTGGGCTTGGATCGCGTCTTCCAGCGCATGACGTTCCTTCTGGACCGTCTCGAGCGTCTGCGCCGCCGACGTGGTTTCCGAATCGAGCTTCTTCCCGTCCGCCACCACCTTCTCGACTTGACTTTGTGTCTGCTTGTTGGATTTTGTGAGCATTTCATGGCGCTCCGAGAGCTTGGCCATGTCCTGCTGCAGCGTCCCGAGCTGCTCTTCGACAAACTTGTTTTCCGAGTCAAACCGGTCCATCGTGCCGGTTAGCGTCTCGTGCACGGTTTGTGCCTTCTCGATCGACGACTTGTAGCCGCGGATCTCGGACGCGAGCGCTAAATCTTGCTCGACGACATTGCTGATGGCAGCTTGGGTGGCCATGAGTGCTTGGTCGCGCTGGCTCATCCCAATCAGCGAGCTCTTCCACTGCTGCATGAGCTGCTTCTTCTCGAACGCGGTCGCTTCCATTTGCTTGGCCGCTTCTTTCAGTGTCTCTTCGGCTGCGATCGTCTCTTGCTTTTGGACCTTGAGCTGCGACGCAAAGAGTGTCGTCTGCTCCTTTAAGAACTTGACCTCTTCTGCGAGCTTGTCAATAAAGAGGTCTTGCTTCTTCTTTTCCTTCTCGAGCGTCGAGACCGTCTCTTCGGCCTTGTGCGCCGCGCGCTGGTTGCGCGCAATCTCGCTCTTCATCTCTTGGTTGTACGCCTCGACTTGGCGCAAGGTCGCGTTGAGCGCATCGAGCTCGGTCTGCGCCTTCTTCATTTGGCTCTGGCTCTTCTCAACAACCAGCTTCTTCTTCGCGAACGCGTCTTTCACATCGTCGAGACCGTCCTCGGCGCGGAACCGCGCGTCGTGCTGCTCGTTGAGCTTGTTGTGCGACCCTTCCAGCGCAATCTGGAGCTGCGCGAGCTGCTGCTGGACGCCGTAGAGCTCGACACCCAAATCTTCGCGCTTGGTCTTGGCGCGACGAAGCTCCTCTTCCTTCTCGCGTAGCTCGAGCGTAATTCGCTCGTCATTGCCAACGAGCTGGTCATACAACACTTTTTGAATGCGCTGCATGCGCTGATGCTTGCCAATATCGACGATAGTCTGTTCATCGTTGGCCGGATCGTCGTCGTCATCCTCGTCGTCGTCGTCGTCGTCGTTGTCGTTGTCGCTGTCGCGTCCGAGATCGTCGTCGATGCCCGTCTCGGTCGCCGCCCACGGCTCGGTCGTCGCCGCCATCCTTGCACGATCGTCGTCGTTTCACAGTCGTTGCGAAACACCAGCGCTCTAAAAAGGCATGTTTCAGTTTGAAACCAAGCGTGTCGAGAAATGAAACTTGCACATCAAACGACATTGCAGCATGCGCTTCGACGTCGCCAGTGCCTGCCTCATGCTCGGACTCGCTCTCATGCCACCCGCGTTGGTGGTGGCCGGGACCGAGGTGCTCATAGCCATCCTCTCGTTCGTGCTACTCGCATCCCTTCAGTCAGCGTACGAGCTCCTCGCCACGTTTCAATCCCATCTCTCGAGCGTACACCTGCTCTACGTCCTTGGGAAGCAGCATGAAAAGCGGCGCCCGAATTTGCTGGACGCCGGGTTTCGCCCCGACGCGGTGCGGAAGCTGCCTCCCGCCGCCTACCTGCACACGACATACGGCCTGGATACGAGCATAGCCGAAGAGCTCGGGACGCTGATCAACATCGTCGTGCGTGACAACGTCGCGAGCTGGTACAAGCAGCTCACGAACGACGACGCATTTCTCACCGGCGTCAAGCTCATCCTCTGCGACATCCTCGGCACGGTCGCGCAGCGCTGCATGCAGCATCTGCAGTACCACAGCGCCATGGCGCTCGCCACCGATGCTGTCGAGCTCGTGCGCCTCCACCTCGCCGCCTTTCGGGATATGTACGCAACGCTCGCGGCCGCGCACCCGATCGAGTTTGACGAGCAGGACAACGTCGACGCCCGCCGCCGGCGCGTGCTCGAGTACGTTCGCCACACACACACACCGACACTGCACCGCGGCTGCCACGACAGTGGCTACCTCAAGCACCTCTCGCTACAACTGCTCACCGTGTGCCGACCCGACGCGAACCCACGCCGCGACCATAGCACCTTGTTCTCGCTCGGTGCACTCACGTCTCACTTTTTGGCGGAAATGATCGCCAAGTGCATCTTGGAGCCCATGCTCGCGTACAGTGAGCCCAAGCACATGAACGTGCTACTGGTGGCATCGCTGCCACCGGCGAGTCCGCGTGGCGAGAGTCCTATTGGACAACCGTACGCCGCCTCAACGACCAAGCGATATGCCAAGTGGGACGAAGGCGATCTGGCCAAGCTCTGGCCCGAGTTGGATGCGTCGTCGTCCATGTTACTGACAACGTGGACGGCGGAGCCACCTCCGGTATTGCTTCGATCCAACACGAGTTCGTCCGGGACGACCAGTGTCACGAAGAAGAAGACAAGCCCACTCCCGTCGTTGATGAAGATGAAGGCACGCTTTCGTCGACTCCACTCGACCAACAATAGCAGTAGCAAATCGCTAGCCCACGAGCCATGCGTCGATGCGTCTGCGTCATCGGCCGGAGACGCGGTCGTCGCCACGCTCACTAGTGCCGTCGACGCCATGGTGCGACTCCTCCAAGGTTCGTCCGAGGCGCGGGCGAGCGGTCGCAGTGCCGAATTGCACGCCCTTCTCTCCGCACTAGAGAAAGTGCTCCTCTTCGGTCTGCAGCCATCGGCGACGTACTGGACCTACCTCACGGAAGCACGGCCCGAAATCACATTCTGGAAGCCCCGCATTGATGTCGTGCTATCGCTGCCGTCGGCGACACCGAGTCACGATCTTTGCTGTGCGCGCGGGCTGCAGTGGCTGCTGCTCGGCCTCGAAGACGGCGAGCTCTGGGCCTATTTTACCGCCTTTACGCTCACGACGTCGCTCACCGAGATCTACTACGAGCCGTATGCTATCTTGCGCGACAAGGCGGCAATGGAAAGCGTGTTGCAGGCGCTCTTCCGCCTCAGCGCATACTCGTGGGAAAGCGACTTGGGCAGTGTCCTTGGCCGCCCCGATACGGCGCCGGCCGACGGCAGCATGGTCCTGGATGCCGCCTGCGAGATCGAGCGGTACTTGCCGCTGCAAGGCTGGGTCAAGTCCAGCGACAAGCGCAAGCGCATCAACGTCCTGCCATCGTCCGAGTGGGTCTGGACGAGCGAGTGGCAGCTGGAAGGCGACTGGCAGTACGCCAAACTCTCGAAAGACGGCTTCCACGACACAGAACGGTCCCTCGACTGCGTGCGGCGACGCAAGTGGGTGCGCGAGCGCTGCACGCGCCAATATGTGCTTGCACCAGGTCGGCAGGTGCCATTATTGCGATGCCTCATATGTATGTTCTGAGGTAGATGACGCCGTGGTGTCACACATGCCATTGCACGCTGTTGTCGAGACCGGCGATGCCTGTGGCGTGTGCCTACGCCCTGTACGGCTTGAAAACCAAAGCAACGACCAAGTCGTCTTCGAGTGCCCCATGTGTCGTCGACAGTGTTGCTTTGCATGCAGCAACCACTGCATCCATGACGCCAACGGCGACCAGCGAGTCTGCAATGCCTGCTACGAGCACGACGCCGCCCGCCGTCGGCTGCGACTGACCATTGCGCGCGTCGTTCAGATTGAAGACGACTGCGACAACAACGGAGCGGGCCGACGCTTTCGCATTGACGTTGTGCACACTGAAACGGGCATTGCATGGTCCCTCGCCAAGCGCTGGGTCGACTTTGAAGTGCTCGTGGCAGCACTCGAGACGTCGGGGGATGTGGACATGGGTCAACTGCGTCGCCTCTCCCTCGTGCGATTGATGTTCAAGATGAATATTGTCTGATGCAATGATGGCCATAGGAGAAGAGGGCAGCGGACGAGTCGGAGGCGAGCATCCTGCATCGCGTCTTGCTCGACCTTCTTCAGTGCGAATCCTTGTGTCAGGATCTCTATGTGCAGCAGTTTTTCTTGGACACCGACATGAGTGCTCCATACACGCCGCCGACGGCCCCAGTCGACCACCCCCCCG